GGTCCACGGGTAGTAGCTAGGATTATCTAATAAAGACCATGCAACCTTATCCCTACAGAATCTCATCATATATGTATACATATGTATTCATTTGCGGCCGCTATTTTCTATTATATATAAACCCTTCCTACTCCCTCTATTACTTACTCTCCATATATATGTACGACACACATCTTTCTAAAAGGAAGATCGAGGCCTTCATACTATATCCCTCCAACTCTCTATCGATTCCTAATGTGGTGGCATCTGCCGAATCTGTGAGCATGAAAGCCGGCTCCCTGTTTCCTATACAGCTCTTAACAAATGTTACTAGCCACAAGCTTATAGAAGAGCAATTACTCTTCAAATCCTTCTCAGATTTCTTTCACTTTCACTTCACCCTGACCCCACTCCTATTGCCGAGCAGGAGAGCCGGCTCTCCGTTTCCCATGTAGCTTCAAGCCTAACGGGATCGGCCTCTTTTCTTTTGAGCCTAGTTAGGGCCCGGGCGAGTATTTCCCTAGACACCACGGCCTTCAAGTCAGAAAAAGTCGCCCCGACCTCACCGAAACGCAAGGCCTCTGTGGATGGAAGTGGCCACCAGGATTATTCACCCGCAAAAAAAGAACAAAGCCGTCGCCCCCCTCTTCTGCGGGCGCCAGCATGTTTGGACGGGTCTCGACTTCTCCATATCTTCTCGATATCTTCTCCACCTTTGTCCTCCCTTCTGAGAGTGTATGTTTATGCCCAAGCGCATGGCCTAGGTTTGGCATTTGCGTTCTCTTGCAGATGCGTTATTATTTTGGCACGTCGCAGAACTCGGTATGTGGGCCGACCTCCTGGTGCTGATGACACGCGCCCAGGACCTTCCAACAAGCCTTTTGGTGGATCAAAGCCGACGTATCATCGACGTTTGACCGTGTGCACTAGAATCAAGCCCTCCGACAACATTTTCGGCGGCAAGCCGGCTGCACCACCACCAGCTCCTTCGACCAATTCCTCTGCACAGCCCGTGATGGCCACTCCCTCGGCCCCTCCTACTCAACCCATTTACCCTACAAACCAATATCAGCACGTTTACTACCTCTTCACAAATCCAGTCATAGCTAAGCACTTTACGTCGGGGATAAGCACGGCGTTTAAGGGCGCTTCGACGATAGGGTCGGATAGGCTTTAAGTCTAGTGGAATATATTCAGCCGTTGAATTTCATGTACGGCGACTTTAAATAACGATTTTCCTTTCCCCCCCTTTTTTTCCCTTTTTTTTCGAAGATAATGGGGTCTACATCAATTTCTGTGAATGAAAAAGAATTGTGATTTTCTATTTGAACATAGTAATTTGAGTAAATCCAACTAATTTAACTAGTAAAACTTTGTAGACCCTTAGCGCCTAAAATGAAACTAATCCCCGCCTAGTCTACAAATGGCTTTTGCAGTTCTCTAGTTCTCATTTATTGGTCTTTGGTCGCTCGTTAAATTTCTCCCTCAAAGTCCAAAATGAAACCCGTCGCTCTTTCTTTCCTCCTAGGCCTCGCCAGCCTCGCCACAGCCCGCACTGACCTGGAAGGCTGCGTCTCCTCAAAAGTCATATTCGATCACTACTACGCCAGCTACCTCTGGTACGTCCCGGAGAGCGGCGAGATCTGCTCAATCCTCGACTGCGGCGGCGGCCGCGGACCCCCAAGTACCACCCAACCGGGATGTCCAGAATACAGCGGGACCGAAACACTTACTCTCGACTACCTGGAGGGCTGGGGACCCAATGGCAAACAGGCTGCCTCTACAAGCACCGTGGCGTCGACTGCTTCATCGACCGCTGATATTGTGCTCGCTTCTGCCACGCAGACTTCCGACGCGTCGATGGCATCGGACTCATCTTCCGCGTCTTCTTTTTCTTCTTCATTCCCGTCCGGCACTCAGCCTGCTGATAGCATGATTACGGACGGCCCCTCTGGTCTTTCCGCGGTCGCTTCGTCTACCTCGGCCACTGGTAATGCTACTCCTACTTCTGCTGCGGCGACCACTCCCAATGCTGCCACTACCCCCGCCTCCAATGTGGGTGGTGTCGTGGTCATGATGGCTGCTATGGTCGGGGCTATGGTGCTGTAATTTTAGCCTGATTATGTACTTATACCTTGCGAAAGTTGGTTATACCCAGCTTTGGGAAATAGGAGACGGGGCTCTTATCTAGGTAAATACATAGTTACAAATACGACCGCCTGTGTAAATTGGAAAGGTCGTTCATCTCTGTTTCATATGAGCCCTTGTCATCGAAGAACAAATTCCCCTTTCTGGTAATTCGCAAGTCTATTCCCTACGGAGCTCGTAGGTCCTATCCGACGGAAGAGTTTGAGCCGCGTCTCTGACCCGCCCGCTTGGCGAGCCCTCTCTCCACAGTTGAAATTCTGGACATGGTCCGGTGGTTGTTAGTTTAATTACTTGATCTGCTATTTCCGGCCATTCCTGTATAAAGGTTGTCCCTTGCGGTCACTGGCGTTGGCATCTTCAGGTAATTTCTTTACTTATTTTCAGTTGGAAATAAATCATTATTACATTGGTATGTACAAGCAGATCGAGATGGTTAATTCGCGGCAACGGACTCCGTTCGGTCCGCTGCAGTGAGCGACTGAACGCAGCCGACTATCAATCAACTACGTATATTCCCCATAAATCGGTGGTATTTCACCAAAAGGAAACATCATATCGAGGGGACAATCCATCATGAAGTCGTAGTCCATCGAGGCGCCAGTGGTGGGCAGGGAGTTTCGTTCCAGTGCATCTTTCCTCCGCCGATGCATCTTTTTAATCATTTTCGCGCGATTTCTCATCCTTCCAAACATCTCCGGTAATTCAGTAGGCGTGGTGGAATCTTGTCCCAGAGGCTGTTCGAAAAATGGAAGTTCTTCTTCGAGCTTGGAAACCATACGATCGATGGTCTGATCGAAGTCTAATATGCTTTCCACGTATGCTCGGTCCCATCCTGGATGGTCGTAAAGAGAAAGCTGGGAGAGAGTGACGACTGCCTTTCCGAATTGACACATTATGGTGAAAGGGAAGAAAGGGAAAAGCGCGGATGGGAGAGAGAAGATGTTTTGGAAAAAGGAGTTTGTCGCTTCCAGGCAGCGGAAAAGGAGATCCAATTGCATGAGAGGATGATCACCATAGTTGGACTTGGAGGGTTCATTGTTGAGAGCTATTCGATAAAGATGTATCTCGAGTGTGTTGTAATGAAGCTGCAGAATGGCTGTTGTCGTCAGATCATTGTTAAGTTGTGCGCAAGAACGGAAACACAACTCACGGGAGTGTGGTGACTCGCTCGGCAGACGAGCTTTGAGTTGCTTAAGCTCAGCCTCAAGCCATCGTATGCTTAGTCCAAGAGGCGGAGGTACTGATGAAACTGATGAAATATTAACGTCGGTATTGTATAGTGAGTAATGAATCTTATCTGCCATGTTCATCACTCGGACTAGCTGTACGAGAGAGGCATCGGTGGGATATTCGGCAAGCTGTTCCAGAACATTGCAACATTCGTCGGTGTATTTTGTAAAGCGAATAATCGGCCCCAGATCTTTCACACATGTCGAAAGTCTTTGAAGAATTAGCTTGTGTTCAGCAGAAGGAGGGACCATACACATACATGGTAGTTAGATAATAACATCCAAGGTAGGTGCGTCGCTCTTCCAGTGTGCGGACCGGATTATGAGGGTCCTCATTCATAGCTTCCTTCAAATAAGTCAAAGTATAATTGAAGTTTTTCTGGTAATTCACTTGATTTAGGCCCAAACTGAAGGATTGCGCCACGAGCAAGTGCACAAATGTATCGAGATGGGCAGTGCTTCGAACAACATGGTGAGGCTCCTCTTCCACTTTGAGCACATCGGGGAGGTGTGCCCTGGGCCGCGGGAAACGACTGACTGAAATGAACCAAGCCACATTGATAAGAAGCCCTTGAAGCAGATCCAGGCTATGTTCTTCTCTTATGACGATGTGCTCGGCCACATATCCTTTGACTGCATCCACAAGTTCTCGCTGACGTGGAGCGTTTTGACACGCGACCATTGAAATATTTAGATAGAGGAATGGTTTCTCTCGGCGCAGTTGCTCCGCAGTGATATGTGGAGGAATCATGAGAAAGGGAAAGAGAGGGGACATTCTCTTGAAGAACACTTCCATCAATAGCTGGCCTTCGGCTTCATCAGGAGCAGCGGGGTTGCCTTCAACCGTAGACGATGATCTCGTTGCCGGGCCACTCTCTACCCGTTCTCTGGCATTTCGTTCCGAGGCGGCCAGCATAGCGACCATGCGGTCTAATTTAGCCTCGAGTGCGGCAACACCTCTAACTAGAATGTCAGGCGTCTCTTGGGGGTGGTTTGACAATGGTGGACACTTACGAGCTACTTGCGACTGATTTTTTCTCACGACGATGGGCTCCGGGCACCTGATTTCCACATTCTTTTTCCAAGCGACGACAACTAAGAAGAATTAGTATGAATTATGTATGAAATGAAACTATATACTCACCGTCTACAAGGACCATCAGTTTCCGGGAAACATCGTACTTTGGCCTTGGCACAGGTTATGCATGCTTTGGGGTGACGGCTCGCAGCTCCATCCTCCATGACGTCTTAACATACACAAATGAGGCTCTCAGTCGGATTTAACGAGGTATAGGGGCAGTTAAGTGATGGCACTCGAGTCTGATGTGTCCGAATGGGAAGAAATTAAGAAAGCGGAACTCCGCACCAGATCTCTTTGATCGTATTTCTATTGGCCGAGCTACACCATAGTGGGCCTCCCTACTATACAGACCTCGGGACCAAACCCCCTTTTTATATCAACATGAGAGTCACCTTGAATGTCCATAGACAGAACAGAAAGAAGCGAGTCTGAGATTCCCTGAAGGGGCCATTCCATAATAACTTGGTGACATACTCACGCAGCCGCGATTGACAGTTGCCAATGTTATTTATTGTCCATGACTGAGGCTAATAAGAGTTTGGTCTATTAAGGCGTCGAGTCTTGGGGGGAAAGTGTATTTCAACGAAAGCCTGAAGGTGGAGAAAGGAAAAACGAGTCAGAGAACGACCAATGGAAAATTCTAATTAGTTACCAGAAGATAATTCCTTCAGGGGTTTCTGGCCGCCCTCGTCCACGTTTGGATAGTCACTTAGGGAGTACAGATCAAACCAAAACTGTTTACCATTGTCATGAAGTTCAATGCGTTGTCAAACCAGCTTCTTTCCACCGCATCCGTTTCGGATAATCCAATGTGAAGCGCAACAATTCCCACCAGGGAAGTATCCCGCATATTCCCAGTCAAGAATTCCCGCAAGTCCGCCGTTTTCAACCTTAATGTTCCCCACGTTTAGATCGCCATGTGGGAGGACATAAGGACAGCAATCGGGCAGACGCTTCCTAAAGGTTTCCAACGCACGTTCTGGAAACACCCTGGTAGGTGTTTATGAAACCAGTGACGTAGGCCATCCCACAATTCGGATTCAGAGCTGAAGGGCCCAAAAGGCTTCTTAGGATCTCCAAATAGCCACCCTGAATAGATCGGTCTTTGGTCTATATCTCTTTCAAAATGATATCCAAATTGATAGACCATACACCGCGCTGGCTGGCCCCATGGAAGAGTTTGATGTGGCTAGAATAATGACACCGCTTCTGTTTCTCAGTGGACCACAAGCTGTGCATGCATTGTCGAGGTCGTTCTGTCAGATCTGGCTTGATAAACAAACAAAGGTCAAGGAAGCAGAGAACTTGGTGTTTGGCTAAAACTGCTATTTGAGTGCGAAAATGCGGTGTGTTTGTTCTTGGGACAGAACATTTGTTTTCGTGCAAGGAACGCAGGGAATAATGGAAATGTTCCGACGGGAGATAGCAAGTGCCTGCACTAGCTAAACAAGTATTGAATACAGAACATATCTGTATGTGCACCGTATGTATTCAATTATCTGGTATTTTACAATACAAGACCTTCCATCAGTGTGTGGAGGGGTCAAAATGGGTGTGGCAATAAACTCCATCTGTTTGGGTGAACCGAAGGACAATCATTCTATAAGAAGTTAACAACACAGCAGATCCTCGGGGAGCCTCGTCTTAAACTTGGCTCCCCACAGCTCCGCCCTGCCGATCGGATGGCGCCCTCGGCTGGGATCTTGTTTCTTCCATCCCCTTTTCCTGGAACGCGCCCGTGCAACGCGCTTTGAACGAAACGCGCGCGCAATACCTCATTCAACCAAGGAGCCACGGAAGATCGAACAATCCGCACAGATATGGCTCCCACAAGCAACCGATGATTGTATGAATCGGGAGTGTCGCCAACGAGGAAGAGATGGATCGCTCATCTTTAAAGGTCTTAATCGGGTACATCGTCACTGCGGGCATGGTGGTGCTCACTATCGTATTTTACTATTTGCTTTCTTATCAACCGTGTCTGGACCCTTTTCGCGACGGGCATATCGATCCCCTGTCATCCGTACAGCCACGACCGAATCCGATTGATGAACTAGTGCTTCGGGGTCCACGGAGACTACTGACTAAGATCTTTGGCACAAATAGTAGTGGGTTGAGGATCCATGCCCGTTTCGAAGACTCAGTGGTCAAGGTACGTTGCAGCCATAGTGTGCTCTTTTGATCGATATTAAAATGAAACGCAACAGTGCGTCCTCGCCATGAGTGACATCCAGATATTCACCGGAATATCCATCATGATCAGTGGTGCGGCACAGCTCAAATGTGAGATTTCCTACTAGCAATGGCTGGTAGTAGTCTACCTGGCATGGTTCTCCAGTCTGACCCATCTCTCGTGTCTAACCCTTCTCCGGACCTATCTACACGATCGACCGGCGGAACGAACCTGGCGACTTGTCTGTATGTTTGTATTGGTGGCTCTCCTCTTCTTCGCTTTTCTCCCCACGGTCAATTATCGATGGCAGCTGGGACTTTCTACTGCTGAATACACAGCTCCTCCCACACCTGAGGATTACGCAATCTGTTATCTGAAACCGATGTCACGACTTGATCCACATGCGTACTCTCTGTATTGGGAAGGGTTGAATTACCATTCCTACAGCGAACATGCCATCGTCGCTACATCGATATCGCTCGTATTGCTATTTCTATTTGTCGGGTTTGTGTGTCGGGTTTTCAAATTGCATCAGAGCTTCTCGAGGTTTCTCGAGCATAACATTCGACGAACCTTCGAACACCTCTACGCTTCTGTCACTACTCATCATATAGCTTCTATAAATACCGTTTCGTTCATCTTCATCTTGCCATAGAAGATTTTACTGTGGACCAGATTTTGGAATCCCCGTTGAGGCGTTGCTCCATACAGAGATAGCACCTGATCGTATCAGATCCAAAGCGCCACCCTTGCTACAATCCCCCGTCATCAACATATCAGAAGAAGCTCCACAAAAAGATGCTATGATGACACTGTTCTTTTCTGAAGCTCGAATTTGCTCTATGCCTCCAGGCCTGTGCTTGCGGACGCAAGAAATAGCGGTAGTGGCAGAACTTACCACAGATGTGGCCATGCCGCAAAAAATGAGCCCATGGTGATCTGCACGCATATTAACTCTCATGACTCGGGCTTTATCGACATCTTTACCTCTCAATTGAGCAGTATTGCTCTAAAACAAGCCCAAAAGGAACAGCCGACCAAGGGAGTTGTGACAAATTCAATACCTCCTGGAAGTTGGAGATGCGGAATCTGGATGAATATCATGCAAGCCTCACTCTTACCCGGTGGATGGACTTGGGACCGGCGCTGGACCCAGACGATCCTCAGTGGAGGCGCGCCTTGATAATGAACTACTGATAAATTCGGCAAATCATGAAATAGTGGACTCCCGCCTGCATTTCGAGAGGGACTCTGTTCAGGCTAGCTCTTCAAATGCATTGTCTGAAGATGCAATGTATTGCCGGAACGTCTCTTTGCTACAAGGGAAGACATACCAAAGAGCGATGACTCCAGCGCCATGTGGACATGGAAAATACATATTGCACGGAGAAGCAAAGACAAGTCCTTCTCGCTGTATCCCTTGGCACTTGGCTCGGTCCCGTCACCAGTGCCATTGCCGGGGTACTTCTTGCTCATTTTCTAGACGTGTACTCAAAAAAACCACCTCCGCCGCTTCTCTGAGCGCGCCACCTCTGATCGATGCTGTCATGTCCACAAGGATATATTTGCTGAAGGCAACTCAGCGAGGCTGGACATTCCAGCCATGCAAGCGTCTTTCGAGCCCCCTAGGTACCTACATTGGATGGCGTCAATCTGCTTCTGTAAGCAGTCACGCAAGCCATTTCCCTTCCCTTCCAAGGAATTGCATGACAGCTTACAGAAGCAGATTGATGCCATCGATAGTACCTACCTAGGTAGGCAGGTCCACAGGTCCAACCTTGGAATGGTATGCGGACGAATTACTAAGCAAACGCATACTTTCCAACCTTGGAAGGTTTCTGGTCACATGTTTCACCGATAAAAGGACCGGATAATCAACGTCCACGGGTACATGTATCACCTCGTTTCTTGACAATTTCCTCTAGGTCATGGGCACCTTGAAGAAGTGATAACATCCATGTATGCTTCTGGCTCAAGAAGTCCTGCGATTGTAATGAATATTTCACTCGAAAGAAGCGTTCTCGTCACATTATGTGGGCTGATCTTGAGTCATCTTCGTGAATCACAAGATCCGCTCCCCACCTGGGCATTCAGGGCTGATTCGAAGAGTTACCTACATATGTAGGTAGTCACCATGGTGGTTCCTGAACTCGGCACGTCCAACCTTATATATTTGCCTTATTTACATATAAGTCATTTCCGAAATAGGGACAAGAGTATGTACATTATGTATGTAGCTATAACACCATCTCCCAATCTCTGATCCGGGGGAATTGTTGTGTTTGAAGCCAGACGAAAATTTTATGTTTAGTTACACGAAATTATGTAGAAAGTAGAATTCACTCAAGATAGACCTCAAGCATGAACAATTTGAGCGAGTCATGTTACTCTGCTTATCGGCGACATGGCCGTCCCCGCAATTCGCAACCGCTCCGATATCCTTCCATTCCCCCTCATCTCTTCTTCCTCATATTCCCAACATGGCTACCATGGCTACATTCTTGAAAAAGCCCCTCAAATTGGCTCTTGTCCAGCTCGCAACAGGTTTGAATGCCTACACCTGCCCATATTATCCTAGCTGACCGGACCATCTAGGAGCGGACAAGGCCGTGAACCTCTCTCATGCTCGGAGCAAAGTCCTTGAAGCTGCAAAGGCTGGCGCGGGATTGATCGTCCTTCCCGAATGCTTCAACTCACCCTATGGCACGAATTTCTTCCCCAAATATGCTGAGACTCTCCTTCCCTCTCCTCCCACGATTGAACAATCGCCCTCGTTCCACGCCCTGTCGGCCATCGCCGTGGAGGCGAATGCATACCTTATTGGCGGAAGTATCCCCGAGCTGGAGCCATCCACAAAGAAGTACTATAATACCTCGTTGGTCTTCTCGCCGACGGGCGCCTTGATCGGCACTCACCGCAAGACACATCTGTTCGACATCGATATCCCGGGCAAGATCCAATTCAAGGAGAGCGATGTACTTTCACCTG